TACACTACCTTTTTTTGAGCCCCGAAAAAAAAAATTGTCTCAGATCGACCCGGAAAAAAAAATTTCTTATAGAATGTGGCCTGTAGAATCCATAATTTCAAACAGTTCCAAGATTGGGCTACTAGTTTAAAAGTTACAGCCCTTTGAATTTTTTTTCGAAATTGGTTTCTAATCTATAACTTTTGATTGAGAAGTCTAATCCAAAAAGTACGAATTGTTTTGGATTCTACGCCCCAAAATTAATAAGAAAAAGTGTTTTCCCGAGAAATTTTGGTGTAGTCGATTTTTGGTAAAAAAGGAAAATGGTTTCTAGTCTATAACTAATAAACAATAATTTATTACCCCCTCCCTCTCCAACAAAAAGGTATAACATCGGTTGCTCAGCTAGGATTAGAACAACAAAAAATAAAGCAACCAGCCAGAAACTGGATTTTGTGTTGGTATCGGACGAGTGGGTTGGGGGTGGACTCAGGGGTTAATAATCCCATTTTATCCCTAACAATTAACCATAATTTTCCAGTTGTGCGCATGGTGGGATGCTAGATGTCTAATCATATAAACGTCTCTGCTTAGTAGAACCCGAAAGGATAGTTACCCTGCACTCAAAGGGCTCAGATTAAACCCCTGAGTGCCATAAAAACTTTATGTAACTTAATTACTTACCTTTGTGGGCTTGTTGCTAATTATGCAAGTTTGGAGCTAAAACACAGAAGAAATCAAGCAAACATTTGAAATCCGCTAGTTGGCGCCATGCCAAAGAACATAATCATTTTCTCTTCAATTTTACACTGAATGTGGTCAGTGATGCGGTCCCAAACAAGTTTAAGAAACAAATGTAATCTCTCCATACATAATTCCGTTTTTCTTGGGCAAGATCAATTTTATTTGAATAGAACACGGACTACAGTTACTGTTTCTCCATACTTGACACACTTATTTTAGCACATCTTTTCAATTTGTTTGAGGGCGGCTTTAATCTCACTTTAGCCGGCTGGCTGGCTGGCAGCAAATGAGAACCCGTAGAAGAACGCTTGTAGAAAGACGAAGAGTGTACTTGTACCAACCGGGACCATGTAATTAACAATTTTAGGGACGGGCGGCTCCCGAGAGTGGTTCATCAACGTGCTGATTTTTCGTTTTCTCCTAACTTCTTCTACAGTTTTAGTCCGATTATTTTTACATTGGTACGGGACGGGGCTACATGCTGTGGGGTCGACGACATCTGGGCGCCATCCCCGCGCGTGGTTTACCAACGTGCTGATTTTTCAGTTTTTTCCTATCTTCTTCTACAGATTTGGTCCGATTGTTTTCAAATTGGTGTCGCCGGAAAGATCTTGTAAATGCGCCCAAGTCTTGCGTGATGGAATTCTGCTTTATTTTCTAGGGGCTAAATAAATCATTTTGTGCCAGGCGCGCATCTTCGAGGGGTAGTCGACTTCGGGCGCCCAAAAGTTTCATAAATCTCGAATCGTGGTCTCTCTTTCTCATGTCACCAGCTCGAGCTATGTGAAGTGCCTATAAAATGGAGTACTATTTTGTGGAAGGATTTTAGCAAAATTCAGGTTATGATGGAGATGTATTAAATTCGGCCGCTATTTCCCTTAAGTTGCTTATGGGATTCTGCTTTGGTATTTGCCCTATATCAACTTTTTCTTCAGTTGAATACAACGCACTCTAGCAAAAATAATAATACGGAAGCCAAAGGTTTAAGACGTTATTTTGGTTGCATAAGATTAGGTGATTTTCAGAGATATTGCCATTTAACAGTAAATAGAGGGAGAAACAATACTCGCAAATCCCCATGTCTACTTCTTAATGAATATCACTGAATATTCAATTATATAATATTCAATATTTATTATAATAGTAAGACACATTCTGAAGAGACTGAGAGGTGCGAATGCCTTCGACCTGCAGTCTGAGGAGGCCATTAACGCGGACGTTGATGAGTCAGGATAGTAAGAAGATGAAAAGAGGTAAAAGAGGAGGATTGATTTGAAATTGTTTATGAATAGTAAGAAAGGAGAGCGCAGAATTGAAAGAGGGGGAGAGAGCGAATTTATGGGATGGGGAGTGGAAAACATGGAAAAAGTAATAGAAAAATTGACGAAGGGAGAAATAATAAGAGGGCACGGGAGGAATGGCCGAAAGAAAACCTACAGTACAGGAGTACGTAAAAGAGGATTAATAGTCGCGGAAATAACATGGGAAAAGGAGAGGGAAATTATGACGAATAAGGCAAAGTTACTGGGAGGCAGGATATACATAGATGATGGGTTGACTTATGAAGAAAGAAACGTGCAGAGAGAAAAGGGAAAGTAGGTACAATGGGAATAAGGGAGATAGTTGTGGAAGATGGAGGACGGGAAAGGGAGGGAGGAAATAGTAGAGAAAGTACGAGTGTTTAAATATTTAGCATACCAAATGCAACGAAATAATGAGGCAAACACAAATAAGAGAACTATGCAAAAAGGAGAGGTTGTGATAAGAAATGTGTGTATATGGAACGGAGATGTGTGGATGGGAAAAATGGAATGAATTCGAAGCAATGCAATAAAGAAGATATTACCATTGGGTACTGGGATTATAAACGGAACGACGCCAAATTACATATTAGAGAAGGAAATAAAAATGGATAAGATAAGGAATGAATCGGGCAGGTCGGTAAGATTCGAGGAAAGGAGAGTAGACGAGAGCGTGTTGAAAGAAGGGTTGCCACAAAAGCAAATTGATGGGAGCAAAGAAGAAATATTATGAAAGAAAAGGATACGGATGGGCAAAGATTAAAATGAGAAGAGGAGTAGGGGAAAGGATGGAAGAAGTACTTACAAAAAGGACCAAGCTATACAAATTCAGCAACAGAAAGAAAAATCTCTAGAATTCACGAGGAAACAGAAGATACAAGGAGCTAATAACGAAGGAGTTTCCAAATATCTAAGGGAGGGAAGGAAAAATAAACCATATAACTGAGATTTTATATCTATCTATAAATTAATCATTCTATCAATATTTTTGGCAAAGACTATAGTCTTGCCTCCAAAACATATAGAAAATCTATGGGTTATGTCGACAGAAAAATAAATATTTCTAAAAGTCACTATAGCATGAAGAAATAGCAGAAGTGGAAAAAATTACACTTCTTTGATTCTATTAACACATACATTGAGCAAACACAAAAAAATATAGCAAAGGGTATATTCGTGCATCCAAATTAAGTTCAATATCAGGAAGAACAGGAACTTTGCATATGACAGATCCATAGGTATGTTTCTTCGTTAGTCAAGAGATGATAATTTTGATTTTAACAATGAATGTTGTAGAAGCACATCGGTTGGCAACTGGCTAGTACAACACGAGCCTCCATTTTTAGTAATTTTCCATTCGCTTGTTTATGTTTCTTTGTAAATATTTACCTTTTAAAAATACCTTGTGCAATACTTATAATCTCTAAGACCATCTCCTACTCAGGCTATAATAGGAATTATGAGTTAAAACGTTAAACTACATTATCTCAGTGACAAATTAAACGGTATTTTGGACAGTTCTCACAAATCTCCTAACATTACTGTCTCAGATTGTATCTGGTGTAAATTGGTTTATTTTAAAACCGGATAGGCGCCGAACACAACCTAAGTTAATCCCATAGTAATTAACGTAAGTCATTTGCAAGTATTTACACTTTACCACCTACATTGATGTTATCAGCTCAATATTTGCTCTACGCCGACAGCCGCAAGCCTTTTTATTTCAAAATAGGTGTTACTCCTTAGTGATACGTTTGTAAATACACTGGCGCCACTAACACTATCAGCCCGTTTTGAAAATAGAAATGCAAACAGAGAGATAGTAGATGTAACTGCAACCAAGCGCCAGGTGTATATAAAGATACAAATTATACAGCCTTTGTTTCTGTTTTTTATTGGCGATCGCAAGGTTTTTTTCTAAAATTATGGATCTTTGTAGAGAAGCGCATTCAAACATTATGAGCATAGGGTATTCAAGTGGTAGAGAAAATCGCAAGGACGATGGATGAGCTTTTATTTGGTGAGGTGAAATAGGAAGGAGTACAGAGGAGGAGTAGAAAAATATGAGATAGGATACAAATGGATGGAAGAAATAAGAGAATTTAAATATTTAGGAACGAAGTAAAATATATTATGAAAGAAATTGTTACAGATAGGCTGATGTCGAAAGGAGGGGAGGAATAGGGTAAAGGATGGAAGATGAACTTAAAAAAGCAACAGAGAGGGTGAAAATTGAGAGCTCACGAGGAGCCAGTACAGGTGCAACAAATAAGTTAATAAGGGAGTGGTTGCCGAAATACGTAAGGTAAAGATGAAAAATATCAAGATAATAGCGAGGTTTAGATGTGAGAACGAGAAGAGAGCAAAGGAGAAATGGAGAAAAGAAGAAGGATTGATGTAGAATTTGTGGAGAAAAAGAGGAATATATAGAGCATATACTATGGGAATGTAAAGAGATGGAAAGAGCAAGGGAAAGCACGAATGAAGTGCTGGAAGAGGGGAGAAGAGGAGAGGAATGGATTATATATTTTTGTAGTTGATTTATCGTACAAAGTTTTTGCCAAATGGCGTCAATAAAGATTAATTGATTGATACACTTTTGAATCTCGTATACTACTTGACGCCAAACACTAGGTATGCAAGTTATTAGTAAAAATGTAACATCACACAATTGGGAAAAAACAATGTTCAAATTCCGTACGCTTGGAAACGCTCTTCGTATAAAAAAACTCTTGCAATTTTATTTTGAAAAAGTGGACTAGATTGTTTTTAACTTTTGATTTTTAAATCCGGCTAAGAAAGGGGTGGATGTCAAATCTGTTAACAGAATGTTATTTGACATCCACCCGCTTTCTTATCCGGATTTAAAAATCTAAAGTTACAATGTAGTCCTCTTTTCCAAAATAAAATTGCAAGTGCGCAATCACACGTTAGAAACTTATAGGTAAAGTAAACCAGTTTGCGTTGATAAGAAGGCCGAATTTTAATTGTGACTGGTTCGCGTTTTAGTGTGCACGTCAAATCGTACGATCGTTATAAATGTTCAATTGTGCTTTAAGTGGGTGTAAAATGGTTATGGACCATGATGCTACCCGGTCAATGGTGCAACAGAAAAGGTAAGAAATTTCCAATTTCTTTAATTATAACACATTTTGATCTACTTTTGGCCATGATTCATTGTTTCTTTTGGTTAAAGAATGTGTCACTGCACAAACCAAAAGCGATGGACATATCTTATCTCACTCTTTACACTTCTTTCAATTACTTATTTCTGCTGTTTTAATGAAAGTTTTACTATGTCTTGATATTTATTGTTGGAAAGGGAAAGTAAAGTATGATTCGGATTGAACTTAGAAATGGAGATTCCAAAATTGATATGCAATAGTAGTTTTTTTTAAAACAGAGTTCTAATTTTGTTGGTCACGTTAGGTAGGTATCCACTTCACATATCAAGTTCTTTATCCATTTATAAACCTCCATCACGATTCACGCGGTAAAAATCCATTCGGTTCAATATGAAAAATATGCCATTTGTACAATGTGCAACTTAACAGCCAAACGTTCACGTACCTATCGGATGTAACATGTTGCAAAATAAATGACTCATTCGCTGCAGGTTTATGTATCATCCAAAATGCCAAGAAAATGTGCAATGAAACTACTCAAGGTCGATAGTATTTGAACGTTGTTATCAAAAGCAAGATAACAACGGTGACACATTATGCTTACATTTGGGGCATAAGGAATTACGGAACGAATTGTGGGATTAAATTTCTATCTTTATTTGGGATTTAGGTAAGACTTTCAGATTTAAGTAAAAAAGGCCAGTACCATAGAGTTAATCGTCGAGCTCTTTATGGGAGAAACAGCATTTTATCTAGAAAGCAAAATAAACATACTTTGTAGAACGAGTGGACCACGATTTATACCCTTAGAACTTAAAATAGCGATTAATTTTTGAATGTGTCAATTTATTTAATGCTTCAACGTTATGGGCCAATTCGGCAAAAGGTAGAGCACTTTTTATTATTTTAGGGTCGCTGTTGTTTAACTTCGAACGTTGTAAAATAATGTATCTAAACAATTTCGTGCTACAAAAAATGACAACGAGAGTGTAGATCTTTCCTTTCCTCCTTTTTCCTTTCCTTCCCTTTTATTTCCGCAATATTTAGAGATAGCGACGGATTTGCCCCTGCAAAAGGTACTAATTATTGCACATATCATTTTTACTTGGGTGTTTTTAACATTGTAGTAGAAACTTTATTAAACAAAACTCTATTAACCGTCAGAGTGACCGAAAAACATCAAATTATCATTCCATTTTACTTTATGTATTAAAAGGTCATTTTTAAAATTTTATTAGAGATATTTTTACCTTTCCTATGCTTGTTTCAGTTTGAATTTAAAAATAAGTTTTATCAGTTATCCGAAACGCTCCCAGCCCCCTTTGGTTCGTTTAAAGAAGCTTCCATTATTGTCTTTTGGAGCTACCCCATGAAGGGTATCAAACTGCGTTTGTTTTTGAGTGACAACAGTGCCATCAACCACCGACGGAAAATATGCGAACTAATTTTAAAAATAAAAATTCGTTGCTCTAAAACGTTAAGCCAATACCTGCAGTCTGTAACAAATGTACATGGCAGTGACAAAATTTATTTAAATGCATATAAAATCCGCTTGTTGCCAACACTTCTATCAGTATGACAACAAAAAAGAAAAAACCTGTGCATTTTTTGCTACGCCACTGGATTCTATTTAAAATATCGACGTTCTCCGACAGACGGTTTTGTTGTACAATGGAACAAAGTGCTTATAACTACTAATTGAATGTTGAAAACCGTTGCTGTCTTAAAATCTCCTTCAAATTTCACGCTCCGGGGAAAATTTCGGAGGTAACGAAACGTTGGGGTTTGTTATTGACCTTATTGAGCAGGAAATTTTCTTCACTGGTTGCAACTTTTAAAACTAACACGGAATTTAGTGAATACAGTCATAAATTTCACAGATAACTCTATTGATCTTTTTCAAAAAAGGGAAACTTTCGTTTCTATGTCGTATAACTTAATTGTAATTCATGAAAAAATGTTTTTTCTCGAAATATGATAAGTTTACATTTAACTTCGCCGTAATTGAACGCGCTGAGACAATGAGCCTATTTTTTTTGTTAAAAACTAATAAATTGTCCTTTTTACTTCACATTTTAACAGGATACGACAGTCGGATTACGTTTTTAAATTCGATTGTGCCACTGGAACTTTTATTATTCTTTAATTTAAAATAATATCCTCGTACCAAAATTTACAAATAAATACACGAATTTACAATTCACATTAACTTTTAACACGAGCTAGGAATTTTCCGTAAATTTCGGAACTTTCGATTCCCGGTTAAAACAGTTCAACCCTTTTAAGCGTGACCTTAAAATGTTGTTCAGTTCTGACCTCACCTCACCTCAACGACAAAAACGAAAATCACACTAGGGCCACTGTACTGGTCGCCTTGAATACCACAACGCGAATGCGTTCTTTTCTAGATCATCGTAGTGATCGCCATGAATAGCAAAAAGTGAATCCATGGAAGGTCCCAATCCCCCTCTCAAAAAATTTTTGAACGAGCATAATATTATGGATTACCACTGAAAATGAGGATCTCTAAATTTTCATTGGTTAGTGTCTTTTGTACTTCCAATCCTAGATGATCAAAATTCGTTTGGGAAGACACTTCTAAACTTGACACTTTTTACAGTTTTAACAATACTAATTCAGTTATTTCTGTGAGAAAATTTCAAAAAATTATACCCAAACCTAAATGCTCTCGTTACAACATATTACGTTGACGAACTGCACCTTCTGATTTCCCATTGCGACCTTAATCCCATCCATAAAGTAGCCATTAATAACGCGAAAACTAGACAAATTGACAGTGTTTTGTTACTTTGACACACTTGCGCATGCGCGATTCTGACCAAAAGCTTTTCACCCCTTCCTTTCATGTCTAAGAAATTAGAGTACAGACACACAGACAGACCGATCGACATAATCGAGAATTTGTTCGTTTCGAATTCCGGGTGCTACGAAACGTTTATTTCTGTTAAAAATGTGGGGTGTCATTTTACACTCCAATGCAATACCCCCCTTACCAACGCGCGTGTGAGAAATGCTGTAACGGAAAAGTACGATGGAGAATGAATTAATTAAACCGGGTGAACCATTTTAATAAATCTAACACAAAACTTACTTTAACTACTATTAACTTAACAGCTCACAAATTATTGCAGACACTCTGTTTGTGGTATAATTTTAGTTTTTAGGTGCAAAATTGGTGGGTTTTTGTATAAATAAACCAAAGTTGGTTTATGCCACTTGAATTTATATTTTCGTATTTGTTTTTCCTCTTGGAAGTTTTGTTAGTCGCGCAATTTTTTTCGTTTAAATTTATCACTTTTGTGGATCTTTAGATAGATCTGGTCGAATTTGCGTTATTTAAAAAAGGTTACATCTGGTCGTTACGTTTTATTGTTTAGGAGACATTTAATTAATGCACATGTGTGAATTAGATATGCAGGTGTTACAAAGAATTATGCACAAACCGGGTAAGTCACAATTTTAAAAGCTATAAGAATGATATAAAACTGGATAAGTTAGAACTTTTTTGAATAATCGAAATAATATTTTGGATTTAAGTTGATATTAGTACTACAAATCGCATAAAAAAGAGATTTTTGATTTTTTCGGAAAATATTACCCTAAATATTACCAGTGTGATTTTTTTTAAATTTGGCCCTTGCCTGGCACTTACCCCAAATGATGTAAATGAAAATGAATCACTTACTTATACCATATTTTTTTAAATTACAAAATGGAAACTAAGTAGTTACTGCCATAAGTAATCGACTACACGGTCTAAGTATAAACTATGCATCTTTGAAATATTAAGCTCCTGTGATAAATGAGTTCTTCCTTCATTTTTCCCGACTATAATTCGATGATCTCTTGGGAAAACTTTCTATGCAAGCATCAACAGTATGAATGCTATTTTCTAGTATTTTGTTTGGTCGATTGCTTTTCTTACCTTTCATGTTCGGAGGCGCTGAAATTTTTTGTTGGATGACGGTCAATACGAGGTTTTGTGATTCCATGGATACTACCGAATGCTTTTTTTTGCAAAAAAATGTACTCTTTGCCATCAGCTCGAAACTAAAAAATTATTAAGATTTAATTTTCTTTGAAATAAATGAAATAATAACAAGCTCTAAATGCTGTTCTTCCTTCCAACATTGTTGTTTTAATTTCTTTTATGTTTTGTGGAATAAATTCTGTCTTTGTCAGTTAATTAACTGGTCAGTTAATTAACTGTGCGTTTAGTCGAACCCGTTATCCGACTCGGATAGTTTTTATGTCAGATTTTTCTTTTTGTGCCGAAGAACTCTGTCAGGAGTTAATGAAAATTTGTGCCCCTAATTCTTTGAATGTTTTGGAAATTGATTGAGTGTCACAAGTTATGAGGAGATAATTACAATTCCAAATTTAAAGGTTTGCTTTGTTTTGAGTTAGCCGGTATTTTGTGGGTCGCTTAATGACAGTTTGCCATTGCACACAGCAGTATATTAGGTATACGGAAACGAAAAATAACGGGTCGCAATGGCATCGAACTTTTTTCTTAAAAACTTGTTAGGTTGGGTTTCAGATATTATGGTTTACTGAGGTAAGGTTTTACATAATCAGACTAATGACACACTGCCAGTCAAAATATGTCGATCCACCTGCATTAGTCGATTTGTTATCGATGTTAGTTACATAAACAAATATTTACAACCTTTTTTTAATTTTACCAATCTAAACCTTTGATCGTGTTCTAATATAATCAGCATCATAAAATAGTTTACTGATACCATGGGGTAAATAAGTACTCTATGTTGATACCGTTACTGTCGCGAAAATGTGATAAATATATCACATCCTGAAGTAGTTACGATTTATCAACACTAATCTGTAGTCACGATTTGATACGGTTGCGTTACTTTATCTACTACATTTCGATATGTCCCTAACATCTTTGCACATGGTGAAGGTAAAAAAATCTAAATCAATTAATTTTAGTGAGTTGTAGGTTGTAGGTAACTGGGTGTCCGTTTGTACTAAGGAAAAGATGAATCTATTAAATAATAATAAATATTTTTCGTAGAAATAAGTACAAAATAAACGTTCCGGCAAACCGAAACTAATAAATACACACTCGATCAGATCATTAAGCAAAACCACGAACGTAACCAAAAGTCATACGGGGTTGAGATTTTCCTCTACGGCATCCTTTTTGGCTTGCTTCTTTTTGAAATACTGCTGCGCCCATAGCGTTATTGACGCGTGCTTTTCACCTTCGACGTGATCGACGTGGTCTGCCGTTTCGACCAAGACGTACTTGGACGTTTTGTAGGAGGTTACCACCAAATGCATCGATACTATAAATGTCAGTAGAATTGTGGCTGACGTCCAAAGAGTATCTGGAAGTACACTGTAAGTTCCACTTTAATGGCTTTCAAAAGATTTACCTTCAATATCTCCTTGGTAGTGCCCCAGTTTGTGTATTAAATGAAAGAACCAGAAGAAACCTGAAGCTCCTCCGATTACTATACAAAGGGCGAGTAGCGGTCTCAGCAATGGACGCGTTGCATTGGATGGTGACGTTTTTAGTAACTCGATCAGAATTATAACAACGCTAAATGTTACTAAAATAAAAACAACATTTCAGGCGACGTTCTCGTTCAAGGTCATAACATATAAATAACCACTGTTTTTACTTACAAGATACAATTGTGGCAGCGACATCCCATTCATTAAACCTTAATATAACCAAAATCGTGATGGATGCGAAATTGATTAGCACCGAAACTGCAAGTAACCTCAGAATGCTGAGTAATTTACTCATTTTGTCAACTAAAAATTATCACTTACGCTTCACTTATATACATAGTATTCTTATCTTTAATCTTCAACACGTCAGATTAAGTTTTTTTTATCCTTTCTTAGTCCACATTTTTGTAACGGCTCCTTAGATTACAAAAATTTTGTTATTACCGCAGTCACATTAATTATCTTTTTCGTGTTTAATAATTATTTTCCATATTTACCGTTTAGTAGAATCGTTATTATAATTAGGTACACATTCGATAAGATTACTTTGTTTATATCGCTTGACGTCAGTTGAACTTTCAAGAAACCTGGTAATTGTCATCGCTATTGGGAAAACTTTACTCCAGAAATGGAAGGATTTTTCTTACTATATAATATTATCTATTAGATTAAATGGCGCTAAGCTATAAATAGATACTGGAGATTATGGCAGAGGTTTCTTAAAAAATTCCATTGAGCAAAACCGTGCTGGGAAGATGAACAACTGCTGGCATTGACTTTACCCTAGTTTGCCATAGAGAAAGTCCATGCTTTTGACCTCCTAGGTCACACCTTCACCTTTAAACCTTGTGACCCTGTCTGCAAGTTGCTCACTTGATCCAGTTTTACCAAGGAGATCAGTCGCACGTGTTCGAACCACGAGTACCTAATGTTTCACACTGTCTAAGCAATGGTCCTATCTTATATCTCTACCATTTTAGTGTTACTGTGTCCAAGACTCCTGGGTATGGATTGTAGCTGGTATGGGTGATATGGTATTGTCAAATTCCATTAGGTACTAATACCGGCTTTAGTAGGCGTGCAAAACAAGGAGCCCCAAGTGGCATTTATCTTGTTTTTTTACTTTGCCGATACAAAATATTGGACAAACAGGGGCGTTGTTGTTGTACGCAAGCAAGTGTCTCACAATGTTTTTTCATCACCCATATCTCCATCCAAGTCAGTTCTGCTACGTTTCCTACATACGCGTGGAAAATTGTGCAAATCACAGGCGCGCATTTTTATACACGGTAACCATGTTAACCGGTTTGATTCGCTATTCTAAAATAGTCAACGGGGGGCAAGCAATTAAATACTTCATTTTAATCCCTAAGTAAACCAGACAGTGGCAATATTTGCTTTCGTGTTACTAAATTGTGCATCTCGCTGAGCCAACAAGCTATATAAGGTTTTAAATTCATTATCAAGGTATTAAGCTGATATGATAGTACTTTTTCAAGTGCTTTTTAATTGTTAGCTCATTCCGTACTCATAATTTTTTGCCACGCTTACCATTAACGTTGTACGTTCCGTCCGTATTTATTCAGGTGCGGATGTTGTATCCAGAGAATCACAATTATCTTATCCCTCATGACGATCTGCGATAAGACTCAATTGGACAATATTGACTTGAAACTGGAGATATTTGCATGGGTTTATTTGTGTTTTTAGGGACCTGTACTCTTAGATTGATTAGAACTTTCCATCACGTTTTTCGTGTAAGTATACGCCTTTTCCATAAATACTTATTGAAAGGACATTACACTTCAGCGCAAATGTGATGATTTGCAAATATATTTTGTTTACATTTAAAGTAGTCGTGGCTGATGTGCCAGCCCGTCCCACATTCTCTCATCGTAGGGGCCGATTTTTGGGAAAAATAGCAATTATACCTAATCTTAATAATAATTCGTGGAATTTTGCCTCGGACGAATTGCTTTCGTGGGATGTTTCAGAATGAGACAAGATTCTGGAGAAATAAGTGATTGAACCTTCAACCTCAAGCTCAGTATTACTTGTGTGGAAAAAAGATGGATTCTACCACTGTTGCGTGGACTTGAGAAAGCTAAATGCAGTAACGAAGAAAGATGCATATCCTCTCCCTTACATTTCAACCATCATAAGCACAACGCTAAATATAGTTCAAGAGACAAATTAAGCTTGACCATACACGGCGTGGCCTGTTTCGTTTCTGTCGCATGCCCTTTGGTGTTCCAATGCCCCATACACTTGGGCAGCGCTGGATAGACAAAGTGTTTGGATCAGAATACGAGCCATTTCCCGTCAGTCTTTTGAAGAATGTAAATTTAACTGTCAATTTCGATAGCAGATTACATCATAAGACAACAAGTTTAGTGTAAAAACAAGTTACGGTCGAGTATTCTTGACCGTTACAACGATAAATTAGCACCCAAATTAGTTGGACCTTTTATTGTGGCAAGAAAAGTTGGCCGTTGGGACGTGGAGTTGAAGATGACAAAGGCAATAACAACGGTATCTATTTGACCCTATGTGGGATCATAAACTAAAATTGTAATTGAATTTTAAAAGTGGTATTTGAATGTTGAAGTCACCTTCCTGCGAATTGCTAAAATATAAAATATGAAATAGAGGTTTCATAGCACTCTAACTACGTACACAAAATCTGCACCCCAAATTATCTAAACACCCTGTATATTAATCTTAAATGAAAGCTACCCACTCCTGTGGAAGGTTTCACTACAAATCCCGACGTATCAAAACTAGAACATGCCCTAAATTGAATTAACTCCCTCTACTAATCTCCAATCTTCCCCTAACAAATGACATATCTAACCCGGACGCCAAAGCAGGTTAAAAATTCCTATAAACGTATGAAATTACCTCAACTGTTAACTTTTATTTTTACAAACCTTGCGCAATGTTTTATAAGACCTTGCAAATTCACACCTATAAAAGCAAACACACTAATAAATCGACATACAATTATCCGATGCTAACTACAGTAATTACAAAGGAAAGTCAATGACATATTTACCTATATATGCGAATCAAACACATACACTCCAAGTTACCATTATTCTCTGTTGCCTCAAATATAACTCATCAGCTTTCTCCTTTTCGCTCGAAAAAAAAAGCAAAGAGTGCGCACCCACTTGCGAGCGAAAATTGTTAGTCGAAGTTTTTCGAAGTTCGAGGCTACTTAGTAAAAGTGGCGATTATTTTTTATGTGCCGTTGAGTTCGAGATACGTTTTGACCCGTAAATTAGCGCCAGAAATCTTTGGCGCCAGTCTGTACGGAGTTATGCGTACATTAACTTCATCTCCATTAGCTCTATCTATCCAAAACTGCAGATTTAAAACTTTATGGCGTGTTTTCACCGTAGAATCCTGAAGAAAGTCACGTTGCAAATTTGAAATAGCATGGAATTGTGAATTATGGTTCTAGAGCTAAAATGGCGGATTTCATTAATAATGCACCATTACGGGGCGTGAATTAATCAGAAATGATAGGTAGAAATTAATCAGGTGGTGATTTTTGTGGGCAATCGGGTTTGGACCACCGATACGTTAAGTGTTAGGAGAACATCACAAAAAGAATTTCATCCGGAGCCAGACTTGTTTTTCGGGCATTACCAGAAGAATTTTTAAAGAAAAGTTTACAGTTAAAAACGGTGAAAAAAAGCTGCTAACGTGTTAAATATCTCCGGTCAACCTTAAGTCTTCTGACATGCAATAATTTAACAGTATATGCATGCCTAATAAGATTCCTAGTAATGACTGACTGAATCACACATAGTCTTCAAAAATTAAAAGTGTTGAGAACAATTTTATAATAGGGGCAATAATAGTAGAAATATTTAATATCGTCTGATGCAGATATTAAATAAGGAACGTATAATTTCCGCTTTACAATTTCAAAGAAAACCTTGACCCCATTAAATGCAGCCATATCAAATCTATACAAAGGGCCGTGCCGAGTTTGACTGTATGAAAAACCATCGTCTCAAAGGCACATTCTCTAGGAGGTATTGCAAGTTTCTATTTGTATAAAATGAAGTGCTGTATTTACGTAAAATATTCCAACGAAATTTTTGACCTTTTTCAGTTAAAATTGGTTTTTATTCACCCCATTTTTTAATCACCGTCGTAATTTTATTTTAAATCAGAATAATGAAAGGAATGTGGCACGAATTAGGTTTACTTTACTGGAATTCATAAGGGTTGTAAGTAGGTAATATGTTCTATCTAGTTTTTTTTTCTCGTCAATATAATGAAATTTGATGGTAATAATTGTGTTATAATGGAAATTGGTAACGTAGGAAATGTATTTGTGTTGTAAAATTCCTCCGTTAGATGTCACCATCCTTTGAAATTAAATCTCTTCACAGTACCCAATTTGCTTGTGATAACCGGAAGATTCATCCGGCTCCTAATATAGGTTGTTTTAATCGCTCGAAAGTTTCCTTTTAATGGACCAGTCAGGTAAATCCCGGCCGATCTTATATTTTGTACATTGCTACACTCTGACTGTACTTTGGCATCACCAGTAACTAAATAGCGTTCCTCCAATTTTGTGTTTCAAATCTCAACTGAAAGCGTGTACAGTGACAGCTATCGGCCGGTTCTTGCGTTTAAGGGAACTTTTTTTAAAATTAAATATGATCGTTCAGGAACCACAAACGACGGGCCTTTGTCTACACAATAGCCTAGTTACTTCGGCTAAGTGAGTCGCTGATTACTCCCATTAATAAAGCTTCATTGAAACAGCTTGCCTTCCAGAAAACACCCGAAACCAATTTGCACATTTCTTCAACTGACAATTAAACAAATTGGGTCAAGTGTTCATAATTCAAATTATCCCACTGTTGACCTACGAAAGTCAGCGCCTATGTCATTGAGGTAAACGGTTATAAATGGTGGTTTGCTCAACGCGAATAGATATAAATATGTTTCCGAGAGTTCCATTTAGAAACTTACCCTCATTTTTCAACTACAAAAAAATGCGATCATCGCTTGATGAAAACTTTCACCCATAGCATACCTTTCATTCAATTGCCAATTTGGGACTAATCTAATTTCAATAAAACTGCACATAGCGTTCCGTTTAAAAAAAAAACGATTTTCGACTAATGAAGGATTTTCAGCATTATCAATGTAACCGGATTAAACATTTCCGTTAATCAATTCTGGATTACATTACGGGAAATAAATTGACGTCCCTTCGAAATTCATGTAAATGCCGTTAGCCGAAACGTACGTTTCGAGCATAATGAATGTCCTAATTCTTTTTTGTTTGACGAT